GAAAAGGGGGGTGAGCCAAGAGGCGTGTGGTTTGGCGGATCAATACCTACATTGGCAGGTCCCCCCCCCCCTTTTTTTAATCCCATTTTTCTGTCTGCAAACCTACAGAGGTTCAGATCAACATTCCTTCATTCCTACTCAGTCAGTCAAACTCCTTCGGTCAAAAACCAGTATATATATATATATATATATATAAAAAAACTGTTTAAAAGCAGAGGAGGACGAAGCGAAAAACACAAGCTAAACACAGCATGTTATTGTCAGTATTGTCACCCCTGTAAGCCACATCTCTGTTCATTCCTGCTTGTTCCTTGGAGGTCCCAAAGCACTGAGCACAGGGATCTGCAGCCTGTGATCTGTGAGTGTGGCGATCACCGCCCCAGGGGAATTGAGCATTCATGTGCATCAACGCCACATACAGGAGGCAGTAAATTCCTCTGTTGAACAACAAAAACTTCTGCAAAACAGTAAGCTAAAAAATACACAGTCACGCGTCACGGTCACGATCACACATTCCCAAAGCTGGTGTCTTGGTGAAAAATGCCTGAAATCCTAGTCCTGTGAAGAAACCATTGAACGCAGTAAGGCCTGCATAATTACACACAGGGACCCTGTTTTTATGTCCATATTTTACTTAGGAGCTACTTAGATTTTTTGGACCGCTTTTCCAAGAAAGTTTTAATGCTCTGATCCCTGCTTTCGGCCATTTTCCCTCTTCGACTCCATTTAAATGGGCAATTGTACATGTGTGCACACGTATCTATTCCAGAGAATTCTGTGCCCCCGCCCTTGCCCTTATTCTAATTAAAAAAATAAACATGCTGATATTCTTTAATGATGTTGGCTAGATCCAGATAATGCTATCGTCCCCTCTACGGTGAATACAGGTTGTGCGGAGAATGATCTTGCTAAAAAAAAATAAAAAATTCTACTGGACACAACTTCATCGCTATGGTGACTGTGCACAGTTTTTTGAAAAAATCCTAGCCTTTTGGTCTCTTCAATAAATCGGTTGGTGGGAGGGGGTTTGTTCTCAAGTGGCTGCATAAATGCTTCTCCCCAGGCAGTGATGTTTTTACACCTTGAGAACTGAGTCTCCATCGCTCTGGGCTCGGCAGCTCGCGTCCTTCTACCTACAGGAACAAATCAACACCGAAATTCTTTATTTAGCATTGCCTCGCCAGAAGGTAGAGATGCTGGGGGCCCACGCAGACCCTCACACCTCCACCTGGACTTCACCAGCTGCCTCTAGCTGATGCATAGCCTGAGAGAAAGCAGAACAGCCTTGCGCCGATACCAAAAGTTAACACAAATTAAACATCCCGACCATTGTTGCCATGTCAACCAATCTTGCATCCTTCATTAGGGAAGCTGTTGCAAAACAGGAAGCTCATGTTGGGCTTTCTTGGCCCCTGCAGATCCGGCGCCGGCCAGACGGTTGGGCATAGCAAGATGGCCTTCTGTTTAGCGGACAAATCTTACACCCACTTATCCTGCCTTACACGAGCCAGCTGTGTTGGGGCACAAGGACATTCCCCATGGTTGGTGAAAAAGGAAGATTCAGCCCTCCTTTCCCCCCTCCTTGCTGTTACTCCATTTTAAAAAGTCGATCAACAAGATTGGTTATATTGGAGGGCTCTTGCTCTTGCTCCTGCGGGGGGCTTGCAATTCCCAAAATCTATGTTGGGGGACACGGCCCAGTAAAGAACTCCCACTTACTAAAAGGCACACTGGGGAAGCCCCCTCCCCTTCTTACAGTTCCCGCCCAACAAACCCCTGTGTTCCAGGTTTCCCCCATCCTCTCTAGTCCAAAGGGGATGCGTTTTGCAACAAGCCATCTTTGCCTTTATAACTGTTTCCGAACTCAACGAACCTTACAGAAGACAACAGGAAAGGCAGATGGGTCTGGGAACTCTGGAGCACCCAGGGAGGGATTTATAGGCACCAGAATGCAACCTCGGGCCACCCTTTTAGCAACAGAGAATGCAATATTGATCCTGGGCTAATCGGAATTGAAATCATCCACCTGGATGTCAAAGGAGGCTGTATAAGATCAGCTAGGGCAGTGTTTCTCAACCTCAGTGACTTTAAGACTTGTGGACTTCCACTCCCAGAATTCCCCAGCCAGCATGCTGGCTGGGGAATTCTGGGAG